AAAAAAAATCAGTCGTTCCCCTGAAGGTTTAATCTGCCTCGGAGAACGACTCTTTGGTACCGTCGCTCCATCGGCTGCTGCACTGTTACAAACACTGGAGGTGCTGGGGGGTRTTTTTAAGAATGTATTGACTGTATTATAGAAACCCTTAGAATGTGTATGACTTGCTGACTGTTAATGCAGAAATAAGCTATGTTCTCTTTAATACAGGGGTGGRAAAAAAGAATTACAGGTGCCATAAACCACAGTGGAATGCAGATCAAGGTTGTGTGAATGTGTTATTTCCTGTGCAATGTGTTGCAGAACATATATTTATGAGTTGTGATCATGCATGTAAATCAGTGCACAACAGTCTGCTTTAACTGCTTTGAAAGTTCACTGTGGAAGAAAAATGAAAATAAAAAGAAAGAAACAAAAGGTGATCCTTCAAGCAGCATGAAAAGTTACATGTGAATGATTTCAGAAAGATGAGTCGATGTGTTTCTGCATGACTATGTAATAAAGTGCAGTATGACAACAAAGAAGAGGGTTTTTATTATAAAGTAGGAGTGGTTGTGGGTGGGGCTTATGTGGGAAGCAGCCAATCAGATCMGTCTTACAGCCGGGAAGCGTCTCTGCCACGTAGAGAGAAGAGCAGCTGCTTGTTTTCTACTGTTGCCCCCCACACACCTGAAGTTGAAGGTGTCAGCATGCTGGTGGTCGCGCTGAGCTGGCTCTGCTCCTCCGCCCTGGTCTCTGTCAGCGGCGGGAAGCTGCCTGAGGCCGAGCTGAAGACGGAGGTCCTGCACAGACCCTTCATCTGTCGCAGGAAGTCCAAGTATGGAGACATGCTGCTGGTGCATCACGACGGATTCTTTGCGAACGGGACCATGTTTTACTCCAGGTATTGGTCAAAGATTAGATTAACAACACTAGTTAATGCTTTGATGCAAAGTTAAAGGGTCAATTCGCCTAATTTAATAATGGCTCKTTGTGTGCACAGCTTTTAGTTCGGAATATCAGAAATGTGACCCAAMCAGGGTGATCAAACAGTTTCAAAGTTTAAATAAGGGGTTATAAACCAGGATGTTTTGATAAGGAATAATAAGATGTGACAGAAGGTTTAAAGTGGGAGTGATTACATCAGTTTACTGCATGTGGAGGTATGCTGTGAAAAAAAAGAAAATAAGTCAAACTAGCATTAAAATATTACATCTGTATCCAAACTGAGATTTTTTTCATTAAATGCAATTATGTTCCTAATTAAAGTGTCTGGTATGGTAGAGTTCTATAAAGACTACAGCACATGTTCATCTGTTTTCTCTGTGGAGGTGTGGATCATGTGCCTCCATCTCAYCCCCAGCATCCTCTGTTACACCAAMCCTCTGCAWATCCACCTTCACATCCATGAACCTCTCAGCAGTCTTCCTTCTTCCTTCTCACTGTCCCCCTCACATGTCCAAACCCATCTCAACCTGAGCTCTAATACAGTCGCATCCTGTCCATGTTGGTCCTTTTTTTTTTTGTCTGTCAAATGTTCAGATGCATTGGTGGGAGCTGCTATTAAATTAAATATACTTCAGGGACGTGGATAAGTTTTTAATCCTACACCATTATTAAATCTGACAGCGGATTCCAAAAGAACATTTCAAACCAAACAAAATAACACCAAAATCATGCTGATTATCTGAAGTATGAGGGAAGTTATTGATGTTTGTTTAGGTGAAATCAGCTCATGTTTTCTTGCTGCAGTTCACAGCAGAACCCATTTCACCTTGTTCTTGTCTATTTATACTCTTAACTTCCTCAGTGTTCAAGATATCACCATGAAATTTTAGGAGAAGATTCACATTCTGGTTTTTGTAGGAAGCATCTTGTATCCTTAAAAACCTAATAAAACTTAATAATAGCCAAATCAAAAGTAGCAGAAAAGGTATAAAATAATATTACAAGGCAAACTGCAGCATCAAATCAACTTAACGTGTCTTAGAACATAAGGGAATTAAAACAATTTAAAAACCATGTGGACATCTGTTTTGTAAACAAAGCTCCTCAACCAACGACAGTGTGTTAAATGTGTCGTGACGAAGATGAGCGTCAACACACTATGTAACAAGCGCTGTTCCGGATTTAAAAAAAACATACTTCGACGTTTCAAATCATTATCAAATTTGGAGCAAAGGCAGATAAAATAATGTTCTTCATGGCACCTTATCTCTTTAAGGGGTCACTAGAAAAACTCAGGTGATTTACTTTGAT